AAAAACAAAATTTTTAGCAAGAATATTATATTTCATTATTTTTGTTCCTTACTTCTGGAAATGTTTATAAAAGAAAAAAAAAAAAGAGGAAATGTGAGCTTTGTACTCGAAAGTCTCTCTAATAGGATTATACCGAGTGGGTTGACTTTACGTCAGAGTGAAACATTTTGATTTTCTGGTCATTTAATATTTAAACAAGCTTTTAACACTGACTAAGCTTATCTTGGTTAAACTTTAACTACATTTTTCACGGGGACACGTTACTTGTTGATTATTTTTTCAGGTAAAATCTTAAATTTTCCTTGCATTTTTACTTGCTACAAACTTATCTTTGCTGACGCTATTTTTATCTGTGCAATTTATCTGTGGATTGTACATCATGTAAATGTCCGGCAAAATAAATTATATATGGCTCGCGGTGATTAAGTTTATTTTTAAATTTCTATACAATTTACATTTAAAAGCTTGATGGAAATTAATTAAAAAGATAAATATTAAAAAAATCAAGAAAAGAATAATTTATAGTCTTGTGTAATATGAAATTCGGATCTTTACATGTCATAAACATTTTATTGTAGATTTTGTAACTTTGGCAAATCCATTTCGTATGATTTCAAAAATATGTCGGCTTTAATGTTATCGGCGCAAACGTTAGTCTTGGCTTCAAAGAGATGCTCGCAAGTTGCTCGCGTTTATAAAGTGTTCTCATTTCTTTCCGAGGATTAAATACGGACAAGAAGAATCCCTCAACGGTCTAAGAGAAAGGCTCGATTTATTTATGCATATTTATAGCGATATCTTTTGTGCAACGGCATCTTTCTTTCTGGATGACTATATCACACTTTCTAAGATATCGTAGTAATTTAATTTATAAATGTTCATAAATTTATTTTCTTCATCTAATGGCTCGAGATTTGATATATTATTTGCGATTCAATGAACATCTCAAAATAGCATAACGTAATAGTTTTAGTGAATTAATTATTTTCTATTTGATACCGCTTGCGACAATTAATATTAATGTTTGAATATTTGAATAGGGTCGTGAAGGCAAAGGTAACATTTATGTGTGGGCTTCTGGGAATGGTGGCTCCAAATCGGACGACTGCGGATGTGATGGATACGTCGGAAGTATATACACCGTGGCTGTCGGATCAGCCAGTCAAACCGGAAGATTTCCTTGGTACGGAGAGAGATGTCCTGCTACTCTCGCCACGACGTACAGCAGCGGCGCGTATTACGATCAGATGATAGTAAGCTTTGTCTTCTCAGCTCGGTGTTGATTAAATTAAAACAAATTAAATTAATAAAATAAAATCTACTCGGTATCTTATTCATCGAAAGATATAAAGCGTTTAGAAGATGCGCGTTATCTTAATAGTTTCTCGTACTCATTTTTCTCAAATTTTCTCTTTTCGAAGCTTATTTACAAAATGAAAAGATATATTTTGTTGTTATAATTATAAATATAATAAGATTCAAATTTCATAAAATTTTGTTGCGGGTAGAGATAGTCGGATTTCTCAATGCGATGTCTGTAATTACCGTCGACATGTTTGCACGTTCCTTGAAATCAGACGATATAAATATTCGCGTGAAAGAAGTAGAATTCATCTTACAAAAGAATGCCGAATAATTTAATAGTTTTCATTTGCGCTGTGCAGGCAACAACGGATTTACGAAACACCTGTACGACTAGGCACACAGGTACTTCAGCTTCCGCCCCATTAGCCGCCGGAATATTGGCTCTCGCGCTGCAAGTAAAGTACGAACATAGTTCCAGCAATCTCTCCCCATTGAAGCTTTTCTTTGAAAACGGAATCGCTAACTTGATTACTAATACTCACTTATATTTTATTTTTAGTTGCACCGTCAATGAAAAGGGATACTTTATTCCGATTCATATTTTTTTTTCATATCCTTATTCATATCCTTTATTAATATATATTTTTAGCTTCGCTATTAACTCTAAACTTCGCGAAGTCAAGAAATTGAAACTTGAACTTTATTATATAATATGATAACGTATAATTATAACAATTATAATTGTAACAGCATAAACGTATAATTATAACAATTAATATATATATGAAGGTATAAATATACATTGAACAAATGTATTAAAACAGTAATTTGTAAGAATAGACACATATTATAATTCACATTATAAATTACAAGTTTTTATATCAAAACCTTTTGTTAAAATTAATTAGAGTTTATGTATTATTTTTATATCTAATATAATTCTTTTTAATCGAAGTTCTCGTTGTCGCAAACATATAACTACGATCCCCAAACAGATCAAGTTCTTTAAAACTTAGATTATACTTTAATGTATAAAAAAAATATTTTGGATAATAAAGAAGAGAAATTTTAAGAGAATCACAAAAGAAATGCCATTGACAAAATTTAATATATGTTTTTAAAACTGAAATATTTTTGTACAGTTTATTTTCTGTTATTATTATGTCTTATATATACAACCTTATGAAATATATAATACGTGTCTATACTAGGAGCCACATTGTATTGAGTTTCAATTTATTTTCGATTAATCTATGATCCAAAATAAAAGTGTCATTTCAACTGCAAGTATATTATCGATATACGATACACGATCGAAATTCGCAAAATAAATTTCTTTTTATTTTTATAGTAACAACTTAACGTGGAGGGACATTCAGCATTTGATAACTTGGTCATCAGAGTATAGTCCTCTCAGGTGAGTGTTTCGCGAATAGCAATTCAGGCCACGTGTATCTGCAATTGTACCAGTTTAAATTCTTATTCGTGCTACAACAAAATAGGTCGCAGCATCGTTTGTAATATGAAACTCGCAAGGAACGGTTTTTTCCATTTGTCGTTAAAAATAATTTTCAGTATAATCGCGCGATCGTGATTAAGGAATAATAGGGCAAAGGAATAATAATTGAGTCTGTGAGCAAGTACGATTAATATCACTTTTTATAAATATTAATTTCTTATCCAATATTTAATTTTAATAACAGATCTTAAGATTAAATTATAACTTTGTCAATTTTTTTCTTTTTCTTTTATGGAATTGATTAATTTTGCTTCTGAGAAACTTAAACATGTTTTCTGATTTTTTTTCAAATAAGTTTGTAGAAACGATTTAACTTGTTTAAAAAATATAAAATAATTTTTCAAATAGTATCGGAAATGTTTGTTACGTTTTTCACGATATCAAATAGTCACTATCTCACGTGTCATGCGTAAAAATTATTTCAAACTATGATATGTAACTTTTATCGAATAATTGTCAAACAAAAGAGGTCGCGCATATATCTATAGAAGAAGAAAAATTGCTCTTCGATCAGCCTACGGGGCATACGCAGATGGTCCTATATATTTCTGTACGTTATTGCTCGTTCTCGTATCCCGTGCTAATTGCCTTCTATTATGTCATAAATTATAAAAGCGATCACAATAGCTTTTGTAAAAAACGTATCCGTTACAATCGTATTTTATTCGTACAGACAATATTTGACAACTGACGTTTGAAAATATTATATTTAATTCTTATTCTCTCAAAGATGCCAATATCACGTAATAATATTCTTTCGAAATTTGATGCTTTCTTACTTCCAAGAATTCTAGTAATGATGCAGATATCATTTTATTCCTATTATTATTATAGAAATGTTAACAAGAGAAAAAGAAATCAAAGTCTGAAGGAGATTGGAGGGAAGCAATGTTTTTCTTGACATCTGCTATTTCTTTACATACGTTTTTTTTTTTATAATGAGAGATTTAATAATTACATCAATTTTCAGCGAAAATCCGGGCTGGTTTAAAAATGCAGCTGGATTTTGGTTCAATTCTCGCTTTGGTTTTGGACTTATGAACGCGTATGCGCTGGTAATAACGAGCTACAACTGGACGACAGTGCCAGAGAAGACTATTTGCAAAGTAGATAACGCATACATGTAAGTAAATTAGTTTAGCGGATTTAGAGCAGCTTAATTGCGCAGTACGCGAACATCGTACTAAACGGACAGTACTGGGCGTACGAATAAAATTGAGTAAATGCTTCCGCTCTTGCTTACAGAGGCAAATATATTTAGCAGCATTAAACGCAATTTATATCTAAATCGTTAGAATAACAAATCGTCCAATTTATAAAGGATAAAATAGACCGATTTCTGCCTACAAGATATATTATAAATTATATATAATTTTATATTTTTTAAATCACTAGATGTGATGGTAACAATTTTATTTATCTAAACTCATGAGAAAATTTATTTTAAAGAAAACCGAAATAAATCTCTTTTTAATAGTAAGAATTACCCATCGTTTTTTCTTTCTTTTTTTTTATTATATTCCTACTATTCAAAACCACAAAATTAGATTTCTCTAATTTAAAAGAGATATTTATGTGAAATGTTATGTATTTATAATATGTAGTCATATTACGTGATCCACAAATACTAAAAGAATAACGATCTTCACTTAATGCCATTCTATAATCCCCAAATGTCGCATCAATCGAGCGCGACGACCTTCTTTTTCGGAGAGCCATTTGCGGATGCTCGAAGAAGCGTGAGATAAGAAGTGCATCGTTAAATTCAACAAGATCGTAAAGATCCTCATTCGTTACGTTACGACAGAGACGAGAAAATGGAATATCGTGAAGGATCTTTTTTGAAATCCGTTTCTGAAGGGGCAATTTATTTAACATTCTGGGAAACAACTGGGACTTCTTGTACTTCGATCAGTAAATGCGAATGGGCATAATCACTTCAAATACCCATGTTCCCTAGTACACCTGACCAAATACGAATTGTAACTCTCGTTACAAGACATCATCCCAATCCATGTAATTCAGAGGTACATACGTGACCTCACTCTTTGAGGATTTATCCTGTTTCATGTGCTTTAAACCGAGCCATTTGCGATTATTCTCGTAATCCCACTGTGAGTGATGAGATACCCGCAAAGGCAGTCTCATTAATTTGCGGTTTTTACGACTCTTCCGTACTATTATTATTATGTTATTATTCATGCTTACAAATTTCAAAATTATTCGCATGCTTGCAATTACATTAACACGACATATTTGAAAAGAGATATTTTGAAAGATATTTTGAAAGACGCAAAAATAAAATAATATTATTTATATGTACATCTCTATTTTTTAAAAGATATTATTTGAAGAAGTTCCTACAAATTTCGATCGCGCATCAAAATTCTCAGTTTTTCGCTTTCGATCTTCGGTCAATATTTCAAAAATATGCGACAGCGCTACGCGATGTTTCGCGAAATGCTTATTTTCGAACTACCAGCGCGCATAGATGTGTAATATTTTTCGTTGCAGCGCCGATATCAGACTGACTTATGGAAATTCAAAGAAACTGCAATTCGATGCCGGTAACGTTTGCCGGACATCAGGGAGCGAAATAATCTTTTTGGAGCACGTGGAAGTCGAAGCGAATCTCGAGTATTCCCGTCGCGGCGCGCTACAGATGTATCTGACTGCGCCTTCAGGTATTACATATATTTTTGACTCTTCAACCATTTATCACATGTGCAAAGTTCTTTTTACGTGCGTCGACTGATAGATCCGTGTATATGTGCAACAAGATTGGAAAATAGAATTTTTTTTCTCGTTTCTCGAATATGGAAAGAGAGATAGAAGCGTAAGTGCTACATTTCACATAACTTTTGTGCGTAAATGGGTCGCATGAGTCTCTTGAGTCGGTTTGCCCGGCTAAGCTTCATTTGAAATGCACTTCTGGAAACGTCATTCTTCATTTGTATCCGACTTATAGAAGTGAAAAAAATGAAAATAAAATACGAAGGAATAACCATGAGGGCAGTCGCGGTATTCCGTCATTTTACGTTTTTAACTAGAAAATTTGAAAGATCTGTAGAAATATCATGCGAAAAAAGTTCTCTATAATTATATCAGAGGCTGAAGTCTTTGAGAATATTCTCAGAGGCTAAATGCAAATTGCGTATAACTATATTCATGGAAATTCGCTCGTCAACCGCATTTATCGAACTCTATTCGCTATTCGTTGCATTTCAATTTATAAAAGAGGAAAACTAAACAATGAATATATATAGAAGAAATACACAAATATGGAGTATAAAATATAATCAAAATAATCAATATTATTATAATTAATATGATAAAAATGAAACATCCATTTTTTGTAAAACTGTTATTAAAAATATCTTATCCTTTTATTTAACATAACACGTTAAATGATATTTTCAGACAATATTAAATACTTTATTGTTCTCTGTACTCGAAATAAAGCACCAAGAGTAATAAATAAAAGTAATAAATAGAAGCTAAATGTAGAAGAATATCTACATTTTATTTTTTAAATAAATTTTTAATATGATATATTTCTCGGAACTTATGCAACAAATAATATGCAGTATTTCGAGATTATCGATCAAATATTGCACAATTAGATATAACAATCTTGTTAAAGAAAGACGGCAAATAACGAACGGATAAATTCCAACAGAATTAATACCGCCATTAATAATTTGGCCAAGTCACGTTTTCTATGTCGCATAACAATGCAGTTAACAGCACAAATACGCTCTTACTTCAGTTTATAGCTAGAAATTCAATTTAATGCTACTTCGATGCGGCGTATTTATTCGAATCGAGATAGAATTGGATATAAAAGAAATAAAATTTATCTGTTTAATATAGATTATCAAAGACCATATTTATATAACATATATTACTACATAAGCTTTATAAATATATAATAAATACTACAAGGAAACTTTGTAATTTTTGTATTAAATAGAACGATGTTTCAAATACGAACGAATGGATAACAATCATCACTTTAGTCAATACGTCATGTTATTTAATTCCCTACGTACGTTTATCGATTGATGTTATTGACAGACGATGTCATTGAAATGCCGAAGAAAATCCGAAATAGAAAGGAACGATGAAAACCATCCACATGTAGCTAAACTAACAATATCGTAACTTTGGGATTTATCTTTTTCTTTTTGGTTTGTATTTACAGATTTTACTGGCAATATTTCAGTAAAAGCACTCTCCGTTTCACACAAAATCGATATGACATTGCATTTTTTATGAATCTATGAAGGAAGAAGAAAATTATTTTTGAAAATTGTAAACATAAGGCAACTTTTAATTGCAATCTTTCTCGGATCAATTTCATGAAATGAACTGTAATTTTTCGGAAATTTAACTATTTATATTCCTAATTATTCTTTTTTCTATTCTTCTAATACTCTTTAAATTATTTGTCAAATTATTTTATTAAAATATTTAATATTATTAAAAAATTTCTATCAACATTTATAATTTAAAATAATTTATAATAAAATGACATTTTTCAAAATATTTTTACCACAATTTTTGATTTTTAAACAAATTGAAAAATATTTAATTTTGTTTTAAGGTAATTTCTTATAAAAGATTAAGAAAAATAGTTTAACTCGTAATATTTATATATCTTATTTGTTGTTAAAAATAGCACTTTTTTCCTGTTATCAAGTATCAAGATTATACTCTCAATTAATATATATTAAACATATATATTAAAGTAATTTACGATTATGTCCAAATTTGCTTTAAAAAGAAAAAAACTATATTTTAAACAAAATATGAAGCTATACTTAACACTCAGATGTTTTACGGAACCAATTTATTTTAACTATCTAGACTAATATTAAGCATTAATTGTTAATATAATGTGATATGTTGCAAAAACTCTTTAAGAAGAGATTTCTCATGATATTCTTAAAATTACGTTTACATATACAAATTCTACTTATGCAAACCATGTACTTCGTTCTTTAGGGACCTCAATCCAGATTCTAAGTCCAAGGAAGCTGGATAATTCTGATGCTGGTTTTACGAAGTGGAAATTCATGTCCGTTGCGACATGGGGTGAAGATCCTCGAGGAACATGGATCTTAGACATACTTGACGAAGTAAGGTTTTGAAAATATTTTATCGCAGATTATACTGCGTCAACATATTTCGAGAGATCTTCATAAGTATATATGTAATCCCATCTTTTTATTATTTATTATTTAAAAGAAATATTATGCAACAATATATCACTAGATGAAAACAGAATATAAATTTGATTGTAATATAAAATTTGATTATTCCTTTCGTAAAATACAAATTCCCATAAAAAAATGTCATACATCGTAGTGAAAACATTTTATAATAAAAAAACACAAATGTGTTACTCAATTCAACATTGTTTCGGAATGTACATATAATAATGATAATATAAACACATAAATTCAAGTAAAGTCGTTTTAATTGATCGTATAAAATCAGAAGGTTTACTTTCTTTTTCCATCGAACATTCTAAATTACAATTCTAAATTTCCATGTATTTCAGAGGTCTATATTCTACATACGAACATATATTTATATGAATAAATTTACATATTTACATAATATCTACATATAAATAAAAATGATGTAAATTTTCAAGGCGCCTTCTTCAAAACAACATGACGAGACACAATGTCTCATCAAGCCAATGACAATTATCAAAATGCAATTGTTTAATTGAATATTGATTATTTCAAATTACCTGTCTGCATATCCGCAAATGTGAATCAGCGTATCTGTCACGCGTGCACATTTGATTACGTATATTTGCACACTTTCAGATAGGACCAGAGCAGAATAATGGTACAATTGGAACATTTACGTTGATTCTGCATGGTACTGTGCAAGTTCCCGTTTATCGCCGAAATGGACCAAGAATCTACAACGAAGACTATAATCGAATACGTAAAACCGTAAGTACACATCACATAATTCTATATTACACTTAATTATATATTAAGTGTAATATATATATATATATATATATATATATATATATATATATATATATATATATATATATATATATATTATATATTACATTTTAATGACATCATTTTTCTTTCAGTATGATGCGATGAAATCAGTAAATTCCATACAGAATGAATTTGATGAAGCGTATCATCGCTAAAAATGAATGATATCTGGCTATAAGCAGTGATTGAATAAACTAAGATATGTTATAATTAACTAGTTATATCATCAAACATTTAAATAAATTAATAAAATAGTCAAGGAATTATTATGATCATAATGATATCCGTCGAAACGCGTACATTTATTCACATCACACATTCTCATGCAAATTTACGTCTAAAATAAATTAAATCCGGATATTGAGATCCGAAAATTAATCCAGATAAATTAATCTGGACATTGATATCCTTTCTTAGTTATATCTCGACTTTCTGAGAATACGACATGATCGCAAATTTATGAAAATATGTCTACATATATTAACAAATACTAGATAATTATATTTGCGATATGTTTATATCGATGATAGCATAAATAAGTTTTTCGTGAATATGCTAAGAGTAAATTTCTCATAACATTCTACATGTACGTTTAATCCATAGTTTATTTTTAATTCGTTGAAGTCTAATCCATCCCTTCGATCCCTTTATGTACAGCTTATGTTACAGCTGTCTGGACCATTTAACAACTGACTTGACTGATAATAAACATTGTCGAAATTCGAGACGGAGCGAAACTAGACTATAGCTCTTAGTTCTGCGCATACAGGATGCACAGTAAATCATGAGTTACAAGCGGACGTAACTAAACCAACGTGGACTTGCAAATCATGAGTGATAACTCCTTTGTAATTGCATACGAATAAGATTCAGTAACGTGCTTTAAATGCTTTACAATTACACACATTTATTCATGCAATTAAAATTTTAATACTCCTAATGAGCCATTTTTCAACTTTGATATATGTGAATGTTTCATATTTCCAGTTCTCTTTATCGAAAATTAAGAAAAAGATTAAAATTCATATTTACAATTAAAAATTGTAATCTTTTCGACGTTAAAATACAAATAGATGAATCTGCTTACTGTGAAATTTTTCGATTCGAATTTTCCGGGAAATTTCCTTCTCGAGAATATTCGCTTTAGATATGCAGATTCTTTTATGCACCATTCTAAGAATCTACATACACTCGGCTTTGCAATCGTGAAATGTCGTATAGATCCAAAGATATATATGAATGTTCCCCTTTTGCACATACACTAGCGATTACCATAGGGGAAAGGGAAAAAAAATATTTGAGTTTACAATCTGAATCATCTTTACAACAGATAACATTTGAGTTCTCTGCTCAGAACATTTAAATTTAATAGCAAGAAAGATATGTAAAATTCTATAACAAGTATTTTATTTCTTGTTACATTCTGTAGAGATTAAATTTTATATGAATAACGAAAAATTTTAAGTTTTTACTTAATAATAAAATAAAACGTTTCAATAAAGTCTGAATAATGAAATAAAAAATAAATACAAAAATATTAAACAATATACGTTTGTAAAATATACATATGTAATATTAAAACTATGTAAAATTTTGTCATATTTTGTAAATCAAATTTCTGTTTTCTCTATTTTTTAAATTGCAGATAATTTTCAATTCTACGAAAAACTGAATTTTATGTATTTTTACAATTTTATAATAAATAAATGAATAGTGAAAATGAAAAAAGCAAAAAATAACTGGCATAAAAATAATTGCCTATGTAAAATAGAAAAGTATCTATAAGTATCTATAATATTCTATCTACAAGTCGCAAGTGTGTGTTGACCTAATGTAAAAACAACTTTTTCAAGGCGAGCATCGCTGTTGCATACTTGCACGTTTCGACTATAAATCATCCTCCGTACAAGCCTGCAAGAATTAAACTTACACAAACTCACAAGCATATTTTACGATGATATATAACTTTACGCAGGTACGAGCAAAATATTACAAAATTATTTATCGTAAGAAATATCAGCACAAATCTTTCATTTTTTTCTACAGAATTTAACTTTAAGATCCTTATTATATTGTCGTATCTTTTTTTTTTATATTAAATTTGAAGCAACATTTGAAATGGATAGATTTGTTTTGCTACTGAAGTTTACCGCTGGCTCGTTTGGAAAATTAGTTTTACGTCGAATTAATTCAACGAGAGCCGAGAGATTGGCCTAAAGTAATTTTACGAGGAAGATGATTCAACGCGTCGCTTTAATGCTATATGCTGAAATTGCGTAATAATGTTCTAGCATAATTCATCAAACTGAAAACCGCAATGATAAAACCGAATAGTTCCATCATGATAAAATCAAATGGTACCACAATTTCAATTAACTAATGCATTTATATAAATAGAAGAAATAACAAACAATAATTCCCACAGAGAATGCAATCAATATAAAAAGCAAAGAGAGTGTATAGTTAGTTAGCGTTATATATTTTCTAAATTTTTGGCTATTATTATATTATTATATTCTTTAAAAAATATAAACTTTCTAATATTTTTTTATATAAAAGGTATTTTATGAACTAATTTTATATTCGGTAATGAAAGATTCTTTATTATTTTATTTATGTATAACAAAATTTTTTAAATAATCTAATATAAATTTAAATAAGCTGAAAATATCTTTTAATAAATTTTAAAAATTATGAAAATTAATAAAATTCTACTAAAGAATAAATTAATCTCAAATTTTATATTCCGTATAGTGGAAACGTTAATTCTTTTTTATAAACTCTAATTAATTGAAAAACTATTTACAAAACTAAATCATGAATTGCACATAAAATGAAAGGACAACATCTAAATGATATTGGGAGGATAAGATCTAAAATATATAAAGCAAAGATAAACTTGGGGTAAAGCGGAATTAAATTTTGGCGCATCCAGAAACACGCAGTGTAACAAATTATGTTAAATTTTCGAAAATTCTGCCATATGTACCTACTCTTATAGGTACATCTGCTTAAACTTATGATGAAGTTAAGTAATTAAGACTATTTGTTTAATATGTCTGCCCAAGTATCTCATATCTTATTTTCACTATTAGCATAGTAACTATAGCGTAATAACGTAATAACGTAATGAAAGGTATATGCTAAAGTTAATTTTCTGTGTTTGATTTCCTTATACACATTCGCATAAAACTTACATATAGTTTACTAAGAGGAATACAAGTTTAATATATTTTTTATTATAAGTTTATTTTTGAAACTTTAGATTCACGAGACCAGATATTCAAGAAATTGCACTGTATGCATCAGTGCATATGTATTACTTCCTGAAAGTTTACCCAGTTGAAATAACGCGTTTAAATCACTTCAAAGGGGTCGTACTACTTCGGTATCGGCGTCTAGTCTATAAATAATAGCTTTCAACTTTCATTCTGCCATCAAACTTGCTATCCTGAGACGTATATTTTTAGATAATTAAATTTACTTTACCTATCACGTAAGACTTTTTCTGCGAGATAATATTTAACTTACATCTCTCAAACAATGAGTTTGATTGAACGATAGAAAAAAAACGCCCGCGAAATAATATAACGCAATCATTTTGCAAACATGCGATGCGATCGATTGTTACACAATATTATTTATTCATCCCACCCGTTATTGCATTACTACGTTACTACGTTATTGCTAAAGTTTGGGTCAGTAATATCCAATATATCGCGATGCAACCCACGTTGATAAAACTGCGAGTAGAGAAATTTGCAATGCGACACAAATTAGCGGCGATGTAATTACATTTCGCATCGATTAGACACAAATAAAAATTATCAACGCCTACACGTCCCAAAAAAAGATCTCCTTGACCTTCTTCTGTCGTGAACAATTGCTAAAGTATTTTGTAAAATCGGTGGATTATGCATTTACCAGAAAATGCGTGATATTAGTAACTTAATGGTCTCGCATATATGAAAATATGTGTGGATATAAAGATGTATACGACAAAAATCTGAACTAGTATATATTGTAATGACAATGTATATTTTCCATTTTTTTCTATTTTTTTCATATAAAAATCCTGGATTGTTCTCATCGAGAATCAGCATTATTTTGATATTCTATTTTCCCTTGTTTTATAAATCACAGATATAGTTTCAATTTTATA